AAAAACTTTGGGGGCGAGGGGGTGTGAACTGAAGGGTAGATATAGTGCCTAGAAGTAATAAATGTGTTATTAAGCATATGTATAAAAATAGTAATAAAAAAACGATATAAAAAAAAAATTATGAAAAATGAATTTTTTGAGGGTTGCGGGTAGTTTTATAGGGGGTGAAAATATGCCAGTTGAGTTTCTCTCGACGAGCTACCCCAGTTTAAAAAAAAGAAGGTTCTAGCCCTTCTGGAGCCCGAAATATTGCAATTTTTTCAAGCGCGTCCAATTGAAGTCCTATTTCCGATTTGAAAATGAGTAAAAGTCGATGATGACTCATCGAACAGAATTTATAGTTTTTTTTTGAGCACTTCTCTTGAAGCGCTCTTAACCTTTTGGTTTATTCAAATAAAAACGAAATAAATTGTACATTAAAGATTGGGTCTTTATTTAAATATTGGCCAAATTTCAGCCCTTAATGTTTATAAACAGCGATTTTTTGAAAAAAAAATTATTTTCGGTTCTATTGGTCGTAGGAAGTTCTTTTTTTTTAATGTGTGTTTTTTGACCAGCTTTCGAATAGTATGCTTGGCTATTTTGTATATTCAAAAACAACCGAGATATTCTAAATGTTTATAAGGCGAAAAAGTGTACTGCGTTTATTAACAATTTTCAATAAGTAAATTACAATATATATTTTTTTTATTTTAAGTATATGATAGTTGACGACCAAACGAAGAAAATGAGCCCAAAATGGGCATCCTAGTCGCCACCCAGCCAGCTGTACGTCCATTCAAAAATGGCCCTTTTTTTAAACAACGGGATAAACAATTAGGATTTTGCAAAACTACTTGACCGATTGCGCCCATCTTTTGCACACAGTTTAAGTACTTGAAAACCCATAATTTGATAAAGTTTTGAATGAATTTATACATTATTGAAAAAGTTATAAACAATTGTAAAAAACAATGTTTTTTGGACTAATTTTGCAATAACTTTTTTATTTATTTATGGATTTCAATTTAGCAAGTCTTAAAATCTTCGTCAGTTCTCGAGGAAAAAATCATCTGTGGAACATTTTTCTCCAACCCTCGTGAGTTTTTCGCAATATTGAATCGAACGAAAAGATACCACTTTTTTGTAAAAAAGTTTAAAATAAACAATTTTCCAACCAAAAAAACGTTACTCACGAGATGAGACGCTATTTGCATAGGCTTCCCCAACACTTTCCACCTGGAAAATCGCGTCCAGTAATTTTTACGAATTTCTGATCATTTTATACCTCTATTTCTTGGTCTAATATAGAACCTAAAACGGTTGTTAGATATTAGTTAAAGTATAGTCAAAAACTAGTGTATTTTGCTCTCTTCCCTGAGCTATAATGCTGTCGTGAGTGAACAATAAATTTTGCGAAAAGTTGAAAAAGAGCATTCATCAATTATCGGTTGAATCCATCAACTATTTAAAACGTGTACTCGACATAGAGTTCAACGAGATTAACGATAGAGATAACTGGCGTTACTATTATGGACATGCCCAAAAATATTACAGAGGATATTTAAATGATAGTGAAAGCCATTTTTATGTTAATTTTAATACGGGTAATTTATTACATTTTTGTCTTCAATAAAGTCAATTATTAATGATAATCCAGTAGATAAACGCCTCTTTATATTTATCTGGGACGGACACTTCGTGTAGTAAAACCGCCATTAGAATTAAAAATTAAACAATATCCTTCAAAGCACGCCAACTGGATTGCTAAATTATAACAAACACCCATCTATACACGTTGTGGAATGCGTAATGAATAGATTGTAAAAACACTATATAATAAAAATCTCTACTTATAAACTGATTGTTTAAACTAACAAAACTAATTAAGATCTAAGATAATAAATATATAGATATGTGAAAACCGTTAATGCTGCAATTAGTGCAATTCAGTATACCGACAAAAGGACGCGGAAAAAAGGACGCATAAAAAAGGACGCGGAAAAAAGGACGCGCGAAAAAAGGACGCGTGGAAAAAAAGGACGCGTGGAAAAAAGGACGCATATTATTAATGAAATACTATAAATAGTTTATTTTAATTGACAATAGCAATTACCCCCGTTTATCCCCTATATATAATTACAGAAAATGATTCTACCTAACCTAAAATCGGTTACGGTAAAAGTAAAAAGTGAAAAATATTTATATGAAAAAAACTTGCCTTCACACTTTATCCAGGCTTAGGACTGGCAGCAGAAGCTGGCGTGTTTACAAGTTTTTTTTTATTATATTGATATTAATTTTTTTTGTATTTTTTTATGTTTGCAACTGAAAATTGTGAGCAATGCCTCTCAAATATTCTAAAGTTGGCCTGTCAGCATAATCGGCAACAATAGCCCTTATCCTGTTTGCTGTATCTTGATATTTTCTTTTGCGAAGAGGTACATTGCCCGAAATGTACTGCTCTATTTTCAAAACATTTAAATCATATTCTTTTTTTAGAGAATTAATAAATTTCCAAATATTCGGATGTGCACTATTGAGAAGAGAAGAGAAGCTGTTGTGCCATCCTTCGACAGCATTATTAGTTCGAGGTATATCTTGGTCTGCCAAATCGTAACAATTCCATACATTTGCTGGAAAAAGGGGTTGTCTTCGATTTCCTCTTCTGGCTAATCTCCCTATCCAAGTCTCTTCAAAGTAATTAATCAGCGGCACTAGTAGTTCTTCATTTTGTGTATAAAAATCGTTATTGAGCAACTCCTCGTACACTCTGACTACATGGTTGTCTGGAACGAACGCAAGAGCTGTCAATTGTCTTAGGTGAAGGGCGAAGTCAGGATTCTCAATATATCTACGTTGCAATCCGGCACTTTGAATATGGTGGTACTTGGGTTTTTCTAATCCCATACATAATTCTGATAATATGGAATCTAACCTGTTTCAATACCAGAAATCTTGAATCAACATTATATTAGTATTTATTATTTTACTTAAGATATTTTAGTCCTAAGCCTCGATAAAATGTGAGGGCAAGTTTTTTTCATATACATAATTATTTTTCACTTATTACTCTTACCGTATCCGATTTTAGGTTAGGTAGAATCATTTTCTGTAATAGCATATGGGGATAAAAAGGGGTAATGGCTAATGTCAATTAAAATAAACTATTTATAGTAATTCATTAATAATATGCGTCCCTTTTTCCACGCGTCCTTTTTCGCGCGTCCTTTTTTCCGCGTCCTTTGGTCTCGTGTCTGTTTTCCGCGTCCTTTTGTCGTAGATTCGTGCAATTCCTATTATCATCTTCTTCCAAGTTTTATGTAGACATTACTATCTGGTTTTCAATGGGCCTCCAGTAAGTTGTCGTTCCATCGTTTTCGTGGTCTTCCTACTGATCGTCTTCCTATTGGGGTAGTAGTGGGCTTCACAGTTCCTTTCTAGGAACTAGTTCCTTGGATCTAGTTCCTGGAACTAGTTGTTTGGAACTATAACTAACTTTGCGATCAAATCGTATGATCAATATTGATATAAATCGAATCGAGTGTTTAGAAATAGGTTCGATTATCGACATCACAAATAAAATAAAAGTAAAATATGGTAAACGATAGGAAAGTAAATTCGAAGGAATTGGTTTAAATAATTATTTCTATTCACGAAAATAATGAAGTGGCCGTCATCGAAAAATAAGGAGATTTAACACACACTACTGACTAGAAAATCGGAGTGGATCTGTAAAATTTAATACTTAAACGAGGAACTTGTAATGTAGTTTTGTACTTCAAATCATTAAAGTGTTTTTGGAATAACCGCCATAGTTACTCAATAATAATTGAGTAAATACCGCCATATTGTTTAAACTTTTTTTATACGTATATATGTTATATATAATGTCTTACCATCAATTTTTCCATTATTATCCTTTTTGTCCTCTCTGTTTGCTCTTTTTTACATTAAATTGATACAGCATACGTTGTAAATTATTTTCATTTTAAGATAGTAGTATTGCGTCGTCTGCATAGCAGATTATTTTAAGTTGTTTTTCTCCCATGAAAATTCGTCCCCCTCCCAATACAAATTGACGTACTTTATAAATTTTGAAGAAACTCTTGGTTTCTGAGTTTTTGAGGGGGGTCGAATTTTCGTTGAAACATAGTATATAATAATATAATAGTATCTAGTACAAACTCACCACCGCAAAAAATCTGCGGATTTTAAAATAGACCGGAAAAGATTTGCAAACTGATCACTGGCCTACCTGCATCCCGTGGCAGGTAAAGACTATAAAAAGGTTGCAAATTGCTAAGGTTTGATAACTTAATAACCAAAGTCCAGATTAAATCTAAATGCAATGCACTAGCGGGAATTCCACTAAATTATATTAATAGCTACCTAAAGCTATGCGAAAAAAAAAATTCCCTTCAGTTGCCGTTGTTCTCTCAATATAAATAATGAATTGCTCATTGATTACCTCTAATGCGTCTCTCATAGGTCACTCACCGTGAGACACCCTATGTATATAAATATATACATTAGTTAAATTTTAAAGCAATTTGTTTGAGATAATTCCTAAATTTAATAAATTATTGCGTAAACAAGAAATGTAATAGGTAACAGGTAAGATTCCGCATTAGAAACCAGCACCTTAGGGCAAAATGCTGGTGATGAGTTTATATATCTACGGTGATCAGTTTACGCGTCTCCAAAGGATACCGGTGATCAGTTTGCTATGTCTCGAAAGGTCTAATAATTTTATAGAGAGCTATAAACTGATGAGCTCGTACACGTCCTTATGTATGCCCACATTATTCAATTGAAAATACATTTATTTTGACGTTTCGATTTCTACTTCGTAAATCGTTCTCAATCTACGATTTCCAAAGTAGAAATTCGAGAAGTCAAAATAAATGTATTTTCAACTAAAATTATGATTAATTCTAACTAAAGATAATAAATAACATTTTTGTTTGTTTTTTTTTTATCATTTAGTTTGGTTACATTAAATCATTTTTTTGTTGCAGGATCGGGATGAACAGAAAAAATTAGAAATGAGACATAGAAAAGAAGAGGACGATTTGTTCAGAAAATTCCAAAGACAAAGGGAAGAGGAAGAAAAACGTATAAGGACGAAATTAGGGTACGTAGAATTATATTAATTATTTTTATTAACTTTTTTAATTACTTTTATGTAATATTTGACACCTAAAACTGAGTATGTGGCTATATTCAAGATTTTTAGCTCCAATTCTTAAACATGTTATTGGTGACCTTAATTTCAAACCTAGGTTCTGGAGAAGATTGTTTAATATTTCATGTGGGTTGTTGAACTGACGTTGAATAAGAGAAGTCGACCTGCTACAAGTACTTTATCATCATTATCATTCTGGCTTTACAACCCTGCGTGGGTCCTAGCCTCCTCAAGTAAAACATAATTTTTGTATAGAAGAGGCATGGAAAAACTAAATAAAATAAAAATATGTGCATACTTAATAAATTACGAACCTAAAGAAAAAACAACAAAAAATGCTTTCAGAAGTTACTTAGCAACAGTCTTTTTTTTCATTTATTGCATAAGAACAAAGAGCTATGAAAGACCTACAAAATTATTTATCTCAGATACCAAAAAATACCCCTTTTATTAATATACTGATGCGGTGCAATTAAACAAACAATTTTTCTGGATCATATCAAATAATATAATCTGTCTCTGGTCATCTCCAATAATATCCTATTTTTTTCATATCTTTGATTTTTAATTTATCTTCTGTTATTTCTTCTACTACTCCTGGAAATGTTTCTCCTCGTAAACTACAATGACGTAAGTCACCTAGTTCGTAGTCGCTTACCTCTAAATCCGTAGAATGGTTAGCTTTCGGCTTTCTAGTTCTTTCACCTGTTTTTCTGCCAGAACCAACATTTTTGTTTAAAATTTCTAAATGCTATTTATTTCTGCCTATCTAAATGCCTATCTCTCCTCTTTGTTTTTCTTCATTCTCAATGTTTAGGTTTAATTGGACAGCTCTCGAAATTTTAATTTTTTCTTTTTCTTGCCATCAGATTCTGCATTGTTCTTCATGATGTTATTTGCTTATTTTTTCTATTTCTTCAAGCTTTAGTTTTTTTATTGCTTCCTTTTAATTTTTTTTTCAGCATCTACTCTTCTCTGGTACTCCATGATGAAATCATCAGCAATCGTTACTAAAGGGTTTATTTTTTTGTAGCCTTTCTTTTGGACGTTTGAGATATTTTTCTGGAAAAATAAAATGCATTTTTAAATGGCGTTGAAAATTTTGGGAGAGTGACAAAATAGGATTCAGCAGAATTTATGGGAGATTGATTTTCAAAATAGGTTCAGAAATCATGAACTATTTTGTACCATGTATCTTTGACAGGTCGGAATACAGCAACATCAAACGGTTGCATGATATGTATGGAATCTGGAACCAGTGTTACCGCTCAATGCCAGAAATATATGAGAACATAACACGACAGGTGTTTTATGTTTTTATATCCAACCATTTATGAAAATAGTTTGCGACATACTCATAAAACGCATCTGTATTCATCCATCCACTTTCATTGTATCCGATACCCCAACCTTTTGACATAGTTGGAAATAAATGTTTTGGTAGTCTTGTATAGGGAAACAGAACTATTGGTGGTGGGATATCTCCACTAGCAGATATTGTTGCTAATACGGTCAGACATTCTTTTTTATCAGCAGTTCTGTTATATACAGTTTTAGATCCTCTTTTAACATTTTAAATTTTAACATTTGTTTGTCCTATGGAGCCACGAAAAAGGCTGTCTCGTCATAGTTGAATATTCGCCTTGGACCTACCAATATTTTACTTTCTTGAAACAATTTTGTATCCTTTCCTCTGTAGCGAAGGAACGGCTAGCTGTCAGATTTTGCAATACACGAGGTCTTACTTCCAGATGCCAGGTTAAGAAATGTTGGTATACCATACATCTTGGATGCTTTATATGCAGACATGATAGTTTTCATGTCATTTAGGGCCCGATCCAGTAGCTCTTGTGAATATTTTTTTCATTGCATTGGCTTAGACTTTTTAAGTTTTGACCATGATTCTAGAAAAAAAATTAAATGTGAATAATTGAGTCTTTTTTGTAGAAACCATGTCAGGCTAAATTTGGATTAGGTCGAAATTAGAACACATGCGGAATATAATAAAATTTATACAACCCAGAATATAATAAAATTATTTTAATGTTTTTTTGTAGTTAATAAATTGTCAGATTGTATACTTTAACTTAAGTAAGTAAAAAATTTTTTTGAGAACAAATTCAAGATTATTTTCATTTTCTACCATTAGAAATAACTACCTGACTTTCATAGTTGTAAACTTCTTTTTTGCTTTTATAGAAAAAAAGTATGTGACGTAATTTGATACTACGTTTTGGGTAATATTTTTTTTTAAAGAATATATTACTTTTTTTAATAATTTTTAATGGAAATGGGCCGGAATTAGATACCGTGACCGAGACACGCAAGCCCTTATCTCTTGCCGTACTGCTCCACCATAGGCCGATCAAACACCAGCATATTCTAGTCTAAGCCGTAGATTCATTTAGAATTTTAAACTGCTGCGTTAGCCTTTTTGTTTTCTGTATACTGAGCTAGGGATCGAACTCACATCACTCGCAGTGAAGCCAATGAGAAACTGGCCGCCCAGCCCGCTTGGCTATCTGACCGACCTGACCTGGCGGAATTTGATTAGCCACTAAAATTGAGCCCTAATACCGGCCTAATCTATTTTTGTGAATTCTACTTTGTTTTGCCCCAAAAACTAAAGTATTTTATAAAGAATACAACTAATAACCATTTCTATAGAAAAACTACTGCATGTAGATGAAAAAATGTGTTCTCTTCTGAGGAAAATTTTAATATTTACCTTATTCTGTATTTTTAATAATTGGTAAAATGTTGTTAAGCTTAATTACTTCTAGTTTCACCATTGATGCAATATCTTTAATGAACCTTACACATGGTAAATTTTTTTAAGTAGATATTAAAATTTTCAATTACAATAATTTTGGATACAAATTATGGAGAAAATATTTATTACTCGTTTTGGTCATTCCACTCAGCTTTAAAAGTAATAAAAATGCTTAACACATCTTTAAAGAAAGATGATTTCTAAAGGTAATTATTGTTCATTGTTATTCTAATAGCGTTTAAAACTGTTGATGTGGTCTATAAAACACGGTCAATTAGAAATTATCAAGGTCATAGTCACGAAGATTTTGTGAACACAAAAACATTAACATTGTTTTTTCACCTATATATCACACTTGTTTCTTCATACGTGTAAAATAATTACAGTACTTTATATTTTCTTACATATGAGGATGAGGGTAATTTTAGCAAATAATTCATTATACTTGAAAATTACGAAAACGAAAACGATTACAAATAAATAATAAATTAAATAAAATACTGATAAAAACGGATGGCTGCTTTGAAGATTTATGTGTAAATATATGTTTACTCACGTAGATGTAGACGTGGATGGTTGCCAAAATAATACATAAACGAAAGTGCGTAAACCAGAAACCCGCATAAGTTGGACATGGCATCCGTGGAACGATTTATGTGGACCAATCTAACATACTCACTTGATATGCGCAAATCGTTCTGATTGTCAACCCCAGGAAAGCCACACAAAAATAGCCCAAACCAGCGCTTTCTACACTGTAGGTGTATATTTTGCAGGTCCTCTGTTTATTAGGTTTTTTAGATTACAAAAGGCGCAAACGCTTAAATTATTTTGCAATTTTCGTTTGCATGGTTATAAAAGCCATTCATTTAGAGTTGGTTAGTGAGTTATCTTCTAACGCAACGTTCAAACGATTCATTTCCCGTCGAGGCAATCCTCACACTTTATATAGTGACAACAGGACTAACTTTGTTGGTACCAGTAATCAACTTAAGGAATTAAGTAATTTTTTTAAATCAAATTCTGAATTTGACAAAATTAGAGCTTATCATTCAGTGGAAGTTTATTCCTTCCCGATTACCTCATTAGGGTGGACTCTGGGAGTCAGCAGTAAAAAATACCAAGTGTCATTTAGTACGTTTAATGAGTAATTCGGTATTGACTTTCAAAGAGTTATATACCGTTTTAACCCAAATAGAAGCTATTTTAAATTCTCGACCGCTTTATGCATGATCTAATGATCCTAATGATTTACAACCATTACCTTCTGGGCATTTCTTAAGGATTATACAACGGATTTAATATCACTTACTAAAATGCTTGTAGACACTCATGCCCATTTTACTGACTTAAAATTAAAAAACCGAATCACACCACTACGCAAAAGACTATAAAAACTATTAAGGCATGAATATTTGAACCCGATAATGATTGCTGTGTTTCAACTAAACAAACACATTTAAAACAGTATATTACAATGGAATTTACCATTTGACCATACTACAGATTCTTCCCTCAGAGTATGCACCAGATTTTATTTCTTTACAAGAAACACAACTTTAAAAATAACTCAACGCACAACCTGAAAGGTTAAACTGGATTTTGCACCAACCTTCTTCTTCAAGTGCCGTCTCCATCAATGGAGGTTAGCGGTTATGGTGGCAAACGTTTGTCTATCTTCAGCTGCTCTTAAGAGTTCCTCAAATCCAAGTCCTGTCCAGTTTCTGATATTACGTAACCAGGACAATTTTTTTCTTCCAATTCCTCGCTTTCCTTCTATTTTGCCTTTTATTATCAACTGAGGGATGTAGTATTTCTCGTTGCGCAACAAATGCCCTAAATAACTGCACCAACCGATCCAACTAAAATTAGCCAGCTGAGGAATAGCTCTATACATAAAGTTAAAATATCCCTGTCCAAAATATAAACCTCGATATATAACTAATATCGAAGCAGTCGTGGTTACAGTACTGGTCCCACTAAAGTTCAATATATGTACCTACCAGTTGTTTCACCAGATGAAACTTTAACTAAACCCGAATTATTTAAGGAATGAAATTAAATACAAAGAAGACAAAAACGATGGTCATCAGCAAGCACCAAAACAGAAGGGTGAAGGTCAATGTCGACGGAACAGATCTGGAAAGAGTAACAAGAACAACGTACCTTGAAAGTAATCTTGATGAAACTTGGGACCACTCACTAGAGATAAGAATACGCCTGGAAAAGGCACGTACAATGTTTTACAAAATGCAAAAAGTTCTATGCAACCGCCAGCTGGGCATCTCATTGAGAAATAGAATACTTAAGTGCTATGTTTTCTCCACCTTTCTCTAGGATGTTGAATCCTGGACAATGACAGAAGCAACACAAAAAAGAATCCAAGCATTCCAACTCTGGTGTTACCGTAAATGCTCAGAATATCCTACATGAGCCATACGACAAATGCGGAAGTCTTGCGGAGGATGAATAAGGAAAGAGAGCTTATGCTTATAATATAAGAACGGAAAACACAATATTTGGTCACATCATAAGAAATCAAAAGTATGAACTGCTCCAACTTATAATCAAAGGTAAAGTCAATAGCAAAAGAGGACCAGGAAGAAGACGCAACTCTTGGCTTAAAAACCTACGGCAATGGACGAACATGACCTCCATAGAACTATTCAGGGCTGCTACAAATAAGATTAAATGGGCAAATGTAATGGCCAACGTCCTTAAGGATAAGGCACCGTAAGAAGAACAAATTCCCTTACCTCGAATAATCACGGGAGATTTTAATGAATATAACATTACACGGGAATTAAATAAAATAACGCCAAGTGAAAATATGTTAGAAAACATTTTTAACACCATAAACCTATGAATAATTAACAATGGTTCTCTAAAAATATTCAATATAGCTGGAGAACACCTTCAGCCATTGATCTTTTGATATGCGAACCCTCATTGCTCACCCAGCTCGATGCACAGCTTTAAACGATTTATACAGTAGTGACCACTTCCCAATATTAATAAAGCATACCTAAAATTGTATTAAACGGAATGAATCAGATTAAAATTTTAGACTCCATTGATGCACTCCATTGTGACATACTCGCTTGCTTCAATCAGCTTATACTGGATGTTGCTAATATAGCCATAGGAGAGTCTCAACTTTTAGAGAAACACAAATAAGTTTCTTGGTGAAATACACAAGGTGGGGCCACTATTAAATTAAGTAAAATAATTGGGAACCAATACAAAAAGTACAAATTATAGATCTATTAACACAATACAAAAAATTTAGAGTTGAACAAGAAGAATAATAAAAAAAGCAAACAAAAATCATGGTAGTAATGTATCATCGATTTGGAAAAAAATTAAGAAAATACCAGGACAGCATACCTACAAACCAATTGTAAGTCTAGAAAAAAAAAGAACGTTAAAACTGAACCACAGGATATAGTAATGAAGTAGCTGATATCTATCAAAAATTCTCATCCACCCAAAATTACAAACGACTGGAGGAGGAAGTACATATTACAATTTCCGACGAATTCAACCCTATCAATACACCTCCTAATTATAGGGAGTTTCAAGAAGCACTTCTTTTTCTTCTTTTGGCATTGTAACCCTGGATGGGTCTTCGCCTGTCTGGCTATGTCCTTTCATTCAAATCTCTCTTGGGTCCTTCTCCTTCATTGTCTTATATTCATGGTTTTCAGGTCGTCCTCCGCGTCATCCAACCTTCTCGTCCTGGGTCTTCCTTTTTTCCACCTTCCTACCGGCTTTCACTGTAACATCTTCTTTGTCGTTTTCGTGTCTTCTTGGTGCTGAACATATCCCAGCTATGACAGTCTTTTCACAAATCTTACAATGTTATTTCCTTCATTCAGTTCATTAACCTCGTCACTTCGCCTGATTCTCCATGTGCTGTCTTCCTCTTGCACCGGGCCATATACTTTTCTCAGTATCTTTCTCCCGAATGTCCTGAGTTACACTTCCTCATTTTTCGTCATTACCTAGGTTTGTAAAGGCAAACCAGATATGTAAACGCATCCACACGTTCAATAGTATAGTTGTCTACTGCTATATTATTTTCATTCTCAGGTGTTCTTTTGATGGTAATGTACTTAGTTTTTGTTTCGTCTATTTTAAGCCCTCTTTTTTGTGCTTCAGGATCAATTTCCTTGAACGTTTTCATTAGTCGTCTCTTGCTTCTACTAATAATGGCAAAATCGTCTGCATATGCAGTAATTTGTACTGTTTTGGTGTTTATATGGCCCATTACATTGGCTTTTCTGATGACTGCTTCAAGAATTAGGTTGAACAGCATGGTTGAAAGGGCGTCTTCCTGTCTCACCCCCATATTGATGTCAAACAGGAGAGACAGTTCTTCTTCTACTCTAACTGCGGCTTTTGAACCGTTTAACGTCATTTTTATGAGGCTGATATATTTTTTTGGTATACCTAGATTTCGGAGGTCTTCCAGCATTTTGTCTTTTTTCACACTATCGAAAATCAAAAGCTTGTTTAAAGTCTATATACATATTATATAGCTCTATGTCGTATTCATAAGCTTTCCCTATATTGTTCTAAGTATAAATATGTTGTATGTAGTGGCTCTATTTGGTCTGAATCCATTTTGATACTCACCAATTATATTTTTGGAGTATTCTGACAATCTAGTGTAGGTAATGCCAGAAAGGATTTTGTATATGACATTTAGCAATGTAATTGGTCTGTAATTCTGTCATTCCCTCTTATCTCCTTTTTTATATATTGGCTGTATAAGATCAACTGCCCATTCCTCCGGCATGAGCTTCAAGAATCATTTAATAGCATAAAAGAAACTTCACCAGTTCCAGACGACATACCAATACAATGTATTAAAAAACTTCCCATAGTTGCAAAAGAGTTTCAACTTCAAATATTTAATATTATTTGGTCACAAAAATAATTTCCAAAACTCTGGAAAAGTGCCATAGTTATTTCTATTATTAAACGAAATAAAGATAAGTTACAACCAGAATCATATCATCGTATATTATTAACATGTTCTTCATCTAAACTTTTGTTTTACATATCTATCCCATTCTAAGAAAAACTGTATAAATTAGACATTATATAGCCTGAGGATACGCAGTGTATCAGTTCAATTAAATGCAAATCAAGTGCATAAACCTAATAACAAATAAATACTATTTTTCGCAATGGTTCGTAGTTCTTCCAGATGACGTAATATCCATATTTGTTTGAAAGTTAACAATTATAATGCAATCGGTAAATAGTACAGAACGCACATATATTTAAAACTAATAATCATCCATAGATTTAAGTTTTTATTACTCGAGGCTATTAAAAATACATTGCAATATCTATATAATTAAAGATGTTACCCAATCGCAAATCATGTATCGGGTTTGCAGGTGCGCAAATACTCGTTTGGAATACAGTTTAAACTGCTATAGTAAACTAATAGGTACTTGTTCTGCTTGGACTTTAAGATTGAATAGTAAAATCAACAATACATTTTTTTTTTTGAAAATCTAATGATTTTCTATTTTGCCCACGGCCTGTTCTCACGTAGTAAGATAATGCCCTATGCGCGTAAAATATTTTTTAGGCACATGAAATACTTTGTAAAATCAAATAAAGTGGAAAAATTATGGTTTTTTGCGATTAGCATCGCACTCTGTATTGAAACATAAATTAAGTTGTTTGTAGTTCAATAACAAGAGAATGTGATTGCATTACTTGAATCACATACTTTAATAATTTTTATACCCTTTCTAATTTTATAGCGAAGTCACAACTGAGGTAATACCGACCCAAAAAGCACAGAAGTCTATTTGTTTGCAACTGGTAGCTCACTACATATCATCATCATGCAACCTCTTCTGCCCACTGCTGGACATAGGTCTCTCCCATTTTTCGCCACTTGTCTTGTCTTGTCGCCACTTCTTGGATATCCCTTTAATGTCGTCCATCCAGCGTATTGGTCCTCTGCTGCGTTTGTTTTCTCTTGGGCGCCTGTCAATTAGTTTTCTGGTACATCTTGAGTCTTTTAGTGTGGCTATGTGACCTGTCCAATTCCATTTCAGCTTGGCTATATGTGCGACGACATCAGTGATACCTGTTTTTTTTCTTTAGGTCTTGGTTTTTTATTCTGTCTTTTTGCCACACCGAGAATCGATATTTCCATGCGCCTTTGTGCCACTCGAATTTTTAATGCTGGTGTTTTTGTGAGAGTGAGAGTTTCTGCTCCATATGTCATAATAGGAAAAACGCATTGGTCAAATGTCTTCCGTTTCAAGCTATCGGGATGTTGCTCTTAAAGATGCCTTTTAGTGAACCATACGCCGCCCAAGCAAGTGTTATTCGTCGTTGAAATTCACAGGTCTGACTATCCTTGCTTATTCTAATTTCATGACCGAGATATATGTACTTTTCTGTCAATTCTTCCACTTTATTTTGAATGGTTAGGTGTTCGCTGGGAACCAAATTGGTCATAAATTTGGTCTTACTAATATTCATTTTTAGACCTATTGTTGTTGATATGTTTTCTAATTCTTGTAGCTTTTGTTGTGCTTTACGCAGATCTTCGGTAATATGTACTATATCGTCGGCAAAACGCAGGTAATTGAGCATTTCCCCGTCTATTTTTATTCCTCTATTTTCCCACTTTAGCATTTGAAAGGCGTATTCGAGCGTTATAAATAATTTAGGCGAGAGAGTGTCGCCCTGTCTCACACCTCGCTTTATATGAATTTCTCTGATGGTATGATGTAGTTTTACATGCATTATGGCGTTTTGGTACAATGTTTGTACTAACTTTGTAAGCCGGTAGTCTATTTCATTATTCTTTGAGGGTATACAAGGCAACTATCGAACACGGTGATTAATTAAATCTTGCCCAAGTACTTTCGATCAATAGATCATCTTCAGGGGCATTTCGTCAGTTGTGGCCTATCCGATATGAGAAGAATGTCATAAATGTAAAATTTGGACATAACAATACAAAATACAATACACAAAGACAAACAAACACTTTAAAATTTTTTAAGGAGAAGCTACATGTTGTATAGAAGCCGGAGACGAGACAGAATGGGCTCCTGGTCTGACGGAAATATTGAGATGACATAATTTTGATGACATAATGAATTTAAAGTCTACTAATCTCTAATGTCTGAATTGTCAATATAAATTAGATAAAATTAATATTAGAAGAATTTTTCACTAAGTAACAAAAACAACATTTGTTTAATTTATTAATGTTTTTATGTTGAGAACGATTTCCTAAGTGGAAATTTAAACGTCAATAAACTTAATTTAAACTTAAATTGTAGCTTAATCCCAATTAAAATAGTAATTGATATTCCACTGCACTTCTTCTTCTTCTTCTTCTTCGCGTGCCATATTAAAATTATCCGACGTTGGCGATCACCATTGCGAAGGCTTCTCGATCTTCTGCAATATGGAATAATTGTCCTGCATTTGGTATCTGAGTCCATTCACGAATGTTTCTTAACCAAGAAACTTGTTTTCTTCCTACACCTCTACGGTCCTCTATTTTGCCTTTAAGGATCAGTTGTAAAATTTTATATCGACTTCCCCTTACTATATGTCCCAGATAAGACATTTTTCGATGTTTAACAGTCTTTAGAAGTTCTCTATATTTGTTGATGCTACTTAGTACTTCTTCATTAGTTTTTCTTGCTGTCCAAGGTATCTTCAGCATTCGTCTATGAACCCAGATTTCCAATGGTTCAATTTTGTCCATGATCGATACTTTTAGCGTCCACACTTCTGCACTATACAAAATTACAGACCAAACATAGCACTTAACCATTCTTTGCCTTAGTTCTAAACTGAGATGGTTATTGCACTGCACTTAATTAAATTAAACATATGTGAAAAATTTAATCACACTTCCGTACTCATGCCAAATTGTCACCCATGATTTTCATACAATCTGATCTAATTTATGTCTGACTCGTTTGACAAAAACATTTTTTCTTTCAGGATGAATGGGAAAAAGAGCTGGAGAGGCTCACTTCTAAATTTGAACGGGAAATGCAAATTAAAAGAAAACGTGAAGAACAAAACACACTTTCGATACGACACCAGCAAGAGAAAGACGATTTAGAAAAAAATATGACGCTTAGGAGGGACAAGAAAAAGGAATCACTGACGAGAAAAATGTTGGAACACGAAAGGTAACAACTTTAAATAATATACATATATGTTTTGTTTCAGTTGTACAAAATAACGAAAAGACAAAATTATTAAGTATCCATTACTAGGAAAAATATTTATATTTTGTGATTCAAAAAGATATTAAGATATATAATCCGTTCACAAATTGTTGATAGCATGAAATGTGCCTCAAAGTCATAAAACGGTCGTAAAATTTGTATCATCATAGGCGTTCCTGAGGTGTTTATTCATTAAAATTAATAATATTATTAATCATGTTTTAATACTAATATATTTAGCAAAAAACAATTAAAGTTTCACGGCTAATGTTGGTTATTATATTATATTAATAAAAATAAGAATTTAACCATTAACAATTTTGTAAATAAGAATACCTTATCTCTTTGGATATTTCAATACTAATCTTCGATCACTTTATTAGAAAACTTGTAATTCATTTCCGAAGGTACTATTCGTTGCAAGATAACTAGGATGGAATTCCTCAGATTTTTAATAATATAATGGGTATAAAGATGCCGGCTTTGGCCACGTGCCTCGTCTGTTCAGTTTATATTCGAAACTTAACTTGAAAGGATGAAGTTATTACAAACGAGAACAATTTTTTTGTTTAGTACGTTTTTGATCGCATGTAATTTACGGCTCGTCGGTGTTTCTGCGTCTACGGCAGTAATTGGCGTCTCGAATATTTCTTTTGTGAATTATATGCAATGCGTGAGTGATTTTTTATTCCATATGCCTACGAATATTTACGTACCTTTCGCTCGTGCTCGTTTTGTTGGATTGTTTGTGAGGCTTCATCATCAACAACATCAAGTTTTACACGGTACTGTTGCGTACAGTCAGTAAGTCTGTCTATTCGCCAAGAGAGAAGACTATTATCCTGAATGTTCACGGTGATCTGAGTCGAAAGTTGTGCCAACATGACTGGCGTAGAGGAGTCAACTATATATAGGTTCCTATCAGAAAGAAAAAAACACGGTATAGCTAACCCAAACACAAACGAACAATTAAAAAGAAGGAAAAGGCCTATAAAATTGATGAATTTGCCAAAAATGGTATTCGAAGGAAAATTCATGGATTTTCCTAAACAAAACTTTACAAGAATTTAGAGACGACCCGGATTTGCCTCATATCGGACGAACTAAATTGTGGCAAGTTTTAAAAGAATTTCCGGTGGGAGAAATCAGACCGAAAATCACTTTTGATTGATCGGAAGGAGATACGTGGGTAAATGTGAATTTGTGAAGCATGGTTTGATGGAATTTCAGTCCAAAAGCACAAAAGACTATCACGAGGAGATGACAGATGATGTAAATATTTTCAAAAATATTTATTAGTTTTCTCCGGATTCGAAAATAATGGATACATTTAAAACACATTGAAAATTTTGCCAGGCGACATTTGGCGCCTTTCTCCTTAATTAAATAAATGTATCTTTTACAAATGGCAAGAAACTTTTTATTTTTGAATAAAATAAAGAAGTTTTATTAAAACAAAAATACAATTTAAAAAATATATTTATTTGGATCAAATAAATGTTTCAATCATATATTCTACGACACTGGTCGGTCATCTGTAACCAAAATACCTTCGTAATCGGATTATAAGGTTGACCGCTGTATTGTATTCCTTCAGATATAAGGTGGGTTAGTCGAAAACATCTTAAACCGTCAGTTTCAGGTTGGTTTTTACTATTATATCGTATTACTATCGTTTCTCTATTTCAGTTCTCTAATTAGGATTTAACTTGTAGTGAGCTATCGACAAATTTTTGAACCGATTATAGCTATTTTTTTTTTAATAGTGGCCAATATTTATAGCACTACAAATCACGATAAAAAATAATTTAAATAAATGGGTGCAGTGTTATAACTTCATGATTGTTCAGTTATCACTTTTTCTGACTTAGTTATTGAAGCAAAAAAAAAATGTTTGGTAAAAACAATTTAAAAACTTATTATATTATTATATTTTTAACACTACAAGACCAACTTTCTACACAATATCAAGGTTGTAGTTTAATTTTTTACAGTTTTCTATGCAACAAATTAGAAAATCAAAAGTCATAAATGATTTTTTTAAAACTTTAAACGTATTTTTTTATCAGATAGTCAAAATAAACGAGAAGTAATAATACGTCCACTTATTTTCACTCAAGGAAGAGTTTATTACTACAATTATCTCTTAGCAACAACTTTATTGATAAAACAAACCTCTTTTGCATACGAAAAGACAATGTATTGATAAAGATAGAAAAAAGAAACAGTAGTGATAATTATTATTATAAAAAAGTGCATTAAAAGTGTGGATCTTCTCATAATATAAGTAAAACTACCAATTATATATTTGTAATATTGAACGAGTGCACTTTTTTTTCAATTTTCATTAGAAAATAATATTATATAAAAACTTCCCTTCAAAAGTTTGGGAAATTATCAAGTGTTTAAACGAAATTAATTTATTTTAAACCGTCAATATAACCCATCTTTTCTAATTTGTATCCAAAGTTGGGGTACAATTTGCTGTTAATGTATTGAAACACATTTGGACACCAGTACCTTGATAAATTCTACGTTGTTATATTGACATATTTTCTTGGTTGCACCATTTCGTCTAAATAAAAATTTTGTATATTTCCTTATAAACTCAATTATCCGATTTCAAAGGACCACCATTGCTTTTTATCGCAATAAAGTGTTTATGTAGGTTACAAGTTACTACGGCATGGAAACATGGACGTTAAGAGTACCTTCCATTAATAGGTTGGTGGCCTTCGAAATGTGGACGTTGCGAAGAATGTTCCGCATACCATGGACAGATAGAGTGAGAAACGAGGAAGTCTTAAGAAAGGCAAATACTGGGAGAGAACTACTCAAGTTGATCAAGGTACGAAAAACTGGATACCTCGGCCATATTCTGATAGAAAAAAATACGCAATCCCTCAACTAATCATCCAGGGAAAAGATTGAGGGCAAGAAAGGAGTAGGTCGCAAACAAATGTCGTGGCTACGAAACATAAAAAACTGGACAGGCATAAATAACACTAGCGATCTTTTGCATGCCGCAAAAGACAGACGTCTGGCCTTAAGATAATTCGCCAACGCACTATAGGTGCACGGCACTAGTGCATTCACAAGAAGAAGAAGAAGGTTACAAGTCAGAGTATCTACATCTAAAATACGTCTTAGTATTTTCAGTAATAGCACGAACAGATTTTTACAAAATTAACAATATAAGATGTTAACAATTGGAATCAATACATTAAATAGGAAAATAACCAATTTCATCTTACTAATAAAATTATTTTACCTTAACCGGCCTACCTGTAGAAACATACGCGGTAAGGGCGTTGTTGTGAAATGTGATTTTAATCGTTCTTGAAATTGAACTAAATAAGTTTGACGATAATTAACATTTTTTCGTGTTAAGTGTCACCGAATTCGTAGTTATAAATTTAAATGTACTTCCTTGGATTTTCGAGTTGTCAATTGTCACTATCAACCCAAAACATCAACCTAAATATTGTTTTTTAGTTAGACAGTTGAATCGTTGCTTATTTACTTAATCCTAAACCCGTGTAAGCTTACCATATAGACAAAAGCATGTTCTATGTATCGAATTTACTATACCTTTTTTTTGTTTTTAGGGCAGCGACAGCAGCATTGGTGGAAAAACAAAGTCACGAAATGTTGGAACTTATTAACGAAAAACGTAGTGAGTACATGCAAGCAGAATCTCTTTATATAGATCATAATGAAGCATACACCGAAGAAGTTCAACCTTATCCAAGTCATGCACCTGCTCCGGCACCACCAGCGCTTAGTAAATTCCAGGTAAAAATTTAATTTAACACAAGTTTGTAAAGTTATTAAAACTAACGGTAAACTTAAAGTGTGTACTATCCATAGACATATGAGTAATATAAGAAAGACTGATCGTGGCAATACCAGCCCGTTCCCCCAGTGCGACAGAGAAAAATGATGCAAAGCAATACCTACATCTCTTTCTAATTTGCCAGGTTTATCGACCACGTTTCTGACAATCGACAGTGCGACAGAAAAAACTGATGCAAAACAATACCTGCATCTCTTTCTAATTTGCCAGGTTTATCGACCACGTTTTTCATTGGTTATTTAGGTCACGTGGTCAATAAACCCAGCCCAATAGACAGAGATGCACGGACTGCTTTGCGTCACTTTCTCTGTCGCACTAAGGGGACCGCGACTGGATATGCTGTAACAGTCGGTCTTTCTTATATTGTATGTCTATGGTACTATTTCATTGATATGAAGGTTATCTTTTTCTTCTTCTTTTTAATGATCCCACTTTTAATAAACATTGGCGATGATTGATTGTGTAGTGTCCTTTTTGTAGTCACCTTGTTTGCTTTTTCTATCTTAATATCATAGTTATCCTCTCCCCTTTCATTTGACGTATCACAGTCCAATCGGTCCAATAATAATGGAGATATGATGTAATGCCATTTTGGCATGCTGCTATTTTTGATTTTTATATACATTCCTATTATATTCGCTAAATTTTGTCATATGACACCTGTACGTTAAACGGTTTCGTCACTAAACGGAAAAGAAGAATTAACAGTTGATGGCGGCAGCAGAAAATTTGACAGACGGAAAAGAAGAATTGACACGTGGCAGACGATTTCACAAATGGTTCCGGTCTTGACTAAGGTTCATGTTTTGACTAAGCTCGACCGGTAACGGCGATCCAACGCTTACCGTTATGACGTTAGAATTAGACTTTGACCGTCTGTTTCAACTGTCGCTACCTCTGCTTAGATCTTGCTCGTTTTCAGCGATTAGTTCTGTATAGTCGGCATATAAGATGTTATTGATGATTTTACCATTGACTTTTACACCTTCCTCTGCATTTTGTAAGACCTTTATAAATATTTTCTCTGAATATATATTAACCAACAGAGGGGATAGAAAGCAACCATGTCTAACTGCTCTTTGAATACTCATGATTTCGGTTTCCCGAGACTCTATTTTAACAAAAGAATGTTGACTTCAGTACAAAATTCAAAATGTTTCAAGTAAAAAATGTAGCTAAGATAATTTTGAACAAAAACATGTATTAACATTTTTTTGTGTAGAATGAACCTCTCTCAGACACAAAGATTAAAACGATCGGCGATTTTAAATGTCAGTTACGGGCGCGAAATCAATGCTCAATAAAATTTGTATCAGCTCGACGGTAAAAATTCAATATCTCTTGATCCAAGTATCCTACCGACAAAACTCAAGATGCGTTTTAAAGGTACAGAGTGCAGCTTTCGTATCAAATTTTGTATTTTGTCACAAATAAACTAAGTTTTTATAAACGTGGCGCGATTTTTGCCATTTTTTATGATTCTCATGAGAATAATACAATGTATTTTGATCAGCCACTATGTAGTTTCCATAACTAGAACCTAATCTTCAAAACCTATAGCATTAAATTTTAATTTTGAGTTATGGCAACAAATGTGAGTCAATTCAAATGCTTAAAACGCTGAATTTAAACTTTCACATTACAAACAATCTATACTTCATTTCAGACGTCCATGCGGTAAAAGAATGTACCTGCGGCTATATTTCAATAGCGCACTTGTAAATAAAATCGTTATAAGCTCATTAACTATTATCTAGGAGAATCTTTAATTTTTTTTATTATAGTCCATGGCTATGACTTCATATTCTCTTGAGATCCTTGCTCGTAGTTTAGCTTTTGTTTTTCGTTTGTAAAGTGTCTGTGCTTTCAGCAAGTGAAGTTTCTGCCTGTTTTAAGTTTATTAATTAATTTTTCATCTTTACATTCTCTTATTTCTATTTTGGAAGCATCACAAATGCTGAAAAGTGTCTTTTCTGGGATACCCAAAGGAGATATTAAAGCGTGTGTTGAATGTTTTTCTATATACTTCATAGCACACTGCTCTATTGGGATGTTTCTCAAAGAACATTTTGTATATCTTTTTAATGTTAAGTTCCTCTGGAAGGTACTTCCTGTTAGATTTTTTTAGGCTGTAGTGACATGCGTCCTTTGAACGATTTTATGTGATTTAAAATTAACTGCATAGTTTCTTCAGACAATTTATTGGGTCTTGAGCCATGTTTACCTCTATTGTCCTTGGCGGTTGTACCATATTTTAGGGCTTTTTGTACAATTTGTAATCTTCTCGTGGATATGCCATGAAGAGCAACAAAAGCTTTTTGACAAACCTGAACGTCTTTTGCAGGTGATGTATGCCCCTCATCATTAGTTACCGCAAGGCGAATTCTGTAATAAAAAGAGCCATCTCTTACGTTGCAATTCTCTTCATCTTTTCTTGGCCTTCTTTGAGTTACAGGAAGTATGGATATTAGACAACCCAAATACATACTTTGCTTGTCCCAATTCAGCATAGAATTAAAATTACGAATAATTGTATTTCTTTGTTCAACCGTTATATTTTCAAAACACTGATAACGTTTGCAACGGCAGTCCTCGCCTGTTTCGTGAGTTTGCACTTTTAGCACTTTAACTGCATCACGTATTCGCCAAAACTGTTTCGTTTTCTTGTAGTTTTTGACTGTAAAGCCTCTTCAATTTCGCTGTCCTCACTTTCCATATTAATAAACAATAGTTCAAACTTACCAAACGTTAAAAAACAAACTTTGATTATGATAATATTGATACTTAAATAAACAACTTGTATGAATGCTGAACACTGACTGTGATTTTCCGTTGTAAATTGTCCCTACGGACAGGCGCATTGAGCACCTAAATCTGACTTATAGCATTGTTGCCTAGTTTAACCTTGACTTGCAGCGCTCTTCCATTGTACAGCATTATTTTATTCGTTTGTAACGTTTGACTTATTGCACTTTTATTTTGTTTGATATTTGTGGATTGTACTACTTGTATCCAAGTATCAAAAAATGTATTCCTCAAGAAATCGATAAAAATTTGACTTACAGCGTTTTTCAGCAGTAGTCTTCAGTTGTTTATTATTTTTAAGATGTGTAAGTACTTTCTCGGCATTTTCTTTTAATGTTTTATTCAAAGTCGCCCTATATCTACGTTGTTTCGTTGTGTTTTGTTATTTCAGCGTTTGTTTGTTTTCAAGTTATATGAACGAATTTTTAAGTTCGTCATTCTTACTTGGGTCGCCGTAGGGGCAAGGTAGATTAATTCTTACTCGGGTCGCCGGTAGAATCAGGTGTGAATCCAAATAAATTCTTACTTGGGTCGTCGTAGTCTCAGGTACAGATAAATTCATACTTGGATCGCTGTCGGCTCAAGTGTGTATTAATTTTTACTTGGGTCGCTATGGGCTGAGTATGAATCCAAATTCATACGTCGAATTTGTTGTTTTCTGTTTTTGAAGTACGTAGCAGTGAAAAATAAATTGTGTAATATACCAGAACATGGTATAATTTTGAAACAGTACATAGGGTGTACCACAACTTCGTTTGTCGTCTGTTTGCTGAACAACCTCTTTTGTCGTCTTTGATCGTCGTTCCAGATTACGGAGATGATCTTCTTTTGTTCCAGTTCGGAAATGGTTCACTTAGTTTCTGCCCCGGAGATGTTTACAGAATTTTCAGAAGTTTAAGTGCGAAAATATGTGAATTTAAAGGTAACATTTAATGTTTTAATTTTCAAAGTAAAGACAGACATTTTTTGCTAAAGTAATAATTGCTTTCATTGTTTAAAAAGCTAATTTTTTTATTTGTAATAATTTTTATATTTGCCACAGTTTATACGTCAGTAACATTAGTAAGTTTTTGTAGCATCTCCTGAATTTGTAAATTAGTAAAACGCATGTAAGTTTTTTGTATTTTGCGACTATCGTGGTAATGTTTTTGTATTGTTTTTTTTTTTTTTAACATTCTTGTGTTCTCTATGTTTTGTAACTGTTTGTGGCAAAACACTAATAAATGTTAAAGTTTGTTTTCTTAACATTTTGTTTATTTTTTTTTACTAACCCTTTTTTGAGTTTTATTTGAAAAAGATGTTTTTTATGTTTTGATTTTTTAATAATTATTTCTTTAGTTGCAACTAGTTGTTGTACTAGTTATAATTAGGCACTTCAAAGTGGCGCTCTATATAAATTACTAGAGGTGTTTCCTGTTTCTTTTTATTTTATTTGTTCCAAGAGATTAATGACCCCTTTATTTCATTTTTTGTAGTTGCCCCAATCCAACCCCCTTATCTTTTATTTATCCACGACCCCAGCTCTCTTACCAAACCCTGAGTGCCGTTCGCACAAGTAGCGTTTATTTTGCTTGCCCTATCTCCATTCCCTTTAGTTTCAGTCCCCAATTTTCTACCCCTTGTATTAATACCCTATGTGGTAGGCAAAATACTTTCGTTACAAAGTACACCATACTACACTTATGCTATAAATTACACCAAAAGCCCGTCTTCTTGGAGTCATTTCCCGTGGCTTTCGATCATTTGCAATGTAAAACTTTCAATTATGTCCAATAAAAGCTGTTCAATAAAAAAAAGTTTATTTATTGAAAAGATTTAGGTATAGAAACTGACTTAATTTGCAGCAAAACACAAAAATTGCGTACGAAAGCTTCACTCTTCACTTTTAAAACGCATTTTGATTGTTGTCGATAGGACACTATGATCAAAGGATATCGATTTTATACCGTCGAGTTGATACAAAATCGCCGCTCGCTTTAAGCGTTGTTTCTGAGATAATAGTTTATTCTACGCAAAAAGTGCTAACTAACAAACATTTTTATTCAAATTATTTCAGCTACATTTTTTATTTGAAATATTTTTTTCTATGGCGTACAGATTATTGTTAAATCGATTTTTTTTTGTATTTCTACCCCCTTACGAGGGTGGTTTTAGATGGAAGCCCTGAGGTAAAAGTGATAAATTTTTTGCAACTTTTTTGGAGTCCCAAAGTTGATATTCTCAGCAAAATTAAGCTTATTTGTATGATTTTTAATCACTTAAGCTCACTTTAAATTATTAATAAAACAAAGTGCCTTTTAATGAAAATTGCATTCGTTGTTAATTCGGTTAATATTTGTATATCGTTTAATAATTGTCTATATGTGTATATCGACAACTATTCTGTTAAGTCTTTTTTGTTGATTAAGTAAATATCTGCCTTATATTGTTGTATAGGTTTATAATGATCCAGTTGAATTTGCCAACGTAGACCAAATTGCAATATCAGTAGCTCAAGAAGACCAAAAATCATTTACAGACTTAGTTAGACAACTAGTAGGACGATGCGGATCAGATGTAGAAAAAGCGAGGTAGGTAAAAAATTAAAGTACCTAATTACTACTATCTACTATACTGTCTCTTTTTACTATCTATTTTCACTGTCTACAATAATTTACTTTTGATTTTAGAACTATCTTTAGATGGATCACTGTAAAGAATTTAAATACCATGTCCTTTGACGAAAACCTTCGAGGAGATACGCCAATGGGTCTGCTAAGAGGCATTAAAAATGGAACGGAAAGCTACCATGTGCTGTTTAAGAGATTATGCAGGTACAAAGTCTTTAGTATAAAAAATAGTAAACATTTATTTCATAAATATCTGTCCTGTTTTCTAAAACACCTATTTTTTATATTTTTTTTGTGATTAAAACTATAATTTATAGAACCAGTGACGTATTTAAATTTCTCTGTCTGGCTCAAATTATATAAACTACGCTGCATTTTTTTTTTGTCTTTATAGAGGGGGGGTCTGGAATCTTCAAAAGACATCTCAGTCCAGGACGCCGCCTGACTAACCTTAGTGCAGGATTCGTTCTTCGTACTCCCGGCGATAGTTCCAGAGGTATTTTAAAATGCCCTCTCGTTGCTGAGTCTACGCCGAACACCTGCTTGCTAAACCTAAACCAGACCCTCCTTTGTCATCCAGCGATCCGGAAGCGGAATGGCCGCTGTAAGGCCGATATCACTTCCGAAGCACTACCTTTATTCATTCATTCTCCATTCATACACATCCACACTCTATTGATCAGCAAGGAGGCTCCCTGTCTCGTTCCAGGTAGCGCGTAGAAGACCCTCATCGCTCCTAGTTCGGCATCATTCTCAGACGGGCATTTCATCCTTCCTCACAGTCTGACTTATGCATTCTAACTCATACAGTCTGACCCACTTCTCTAGCTTCACCTTTCAGCGTCTTTCACTCCTACCTTTGCTGTTGGTCCAGCTGTCTTTCTTCCTCCTCCTTGTTCTTGATCACTGCACGGATTTAGCTGTGTATGTTAGTCCAACTTGATTATTTTCAATCGTTCTTTCAATCATTTCTCTCACTTTAACAAAATTCACACCTGTCTCTCTCTATTCTGTTCCTTTCCACTATCCATCTGCTGCAATCTAACATCGTATGTGTCACAGTGTCCGAGTATCTACAGTATAGGCATTCATCTGTATCAGACTTTCCGATCCTATAGAGGTAGGCCCTAAAATACTTGTATCCTGTGAGAACCTGTGTCAGGAAATAATCCAGTCGCCTGTGACCACAGTCCACCCAATCTCTTATGTTTGGAATCAGTATTTTCGTCCACTATCCACATCCTCCATGTATAGTCAACAAAGATAGAGAACTGCTAAAGACTTTTAAACATCGAAAAATGTCTTATCTGGTAAAAATAGTAAGGGGAAATCGATATAAAATATTACAACCGATCATTAAAGGCAAAATAGAGGGCCGTAGAGGTGTAGGAAGAAAACAAGTTTCTTGGTTTAAAAACGTTCGTGAATGGACTCAGATACCAAATGCAGGACAATTATTCCATATTGCATAAGATCGAGAAGTCTTCGCAATGGTGATCGCCAACGTCGGATAATTTTAATATGGCACGCGAAGAAGAAGAGGGAAAAATATTCTTACCTCTTAGGGTGTTATAACCCCTTAAGTCAATATTAGTACTCCTAGTATGCCCTTTTCTGCAGTAGGGCACATGGCACAATATCACTAATAATATCGCGACATACAGGTTAGGCAACATACACACAAAAACATTGCAACACGGGTTGCATACACGTAGAAGATTTGTTACAACATGGTATTTAGTCGTTTATATTATCAAAATATACAATTACAAATAGATGGACAATCAATACGAAAAGTATCCAATTTTTAATCTAGGTTATTATATTTCAAACGATTAGATCAAGATAAAATAAAAAATTGAGATGGGTTGTTTTTTAAAAATGAGGTCACCCTTCTGAAACGTTAACTTCAACTTCGAAAGCGTATGATTTAATGTTACATAGGATCAGTTGTCTTATATGGTGTCGAAGCATGGATCTTAAAAATATCAATTATTAACCCATTAAACTTCTAGAAGGCAAAGCAGACGTTGCTAAAAGATGTGAAGAGAGAAAATGGGGAATCTAAACGTTGCATTCCTCAAAATATCTACTCATCTACACAAAAATCCTTTTTCTAGTCAATAGAAATCTTCGGATTTCTACTTTCGTTATTTATTATCGGATGTCGCTAAAGCGTCCATACTGAAGCCATTTTATTGTTGCTTCTTTTCAACGGAAAATATTTGTTTTCACATTCAGAGCTTCTGTAACAGTCGCTCTGATGAGTTCTGTTAGAATGGAATACGTATAAACTAATATACAGGGATACTATTCGTGAAATCAAATCTTAACTGTCTTTTTTTTTATTTCGATATACTCTTAATGAGTACGCGAAACCAATTCGCCAAGAATTTTTGATTAGATGAGGAGATATGTTGTGGAATGTAACTTTTAGATTCCCAATTTTCTCCCTTTACGTCTTTTAGCATCGTCTGTTTTGCCTTGCAATTTATATAACGCACAGATTAAAGCAAAAATCTGGATTTTGGTTTCGTCAATGAAAATCTTCGGATTTCTACTTTCGTGATAAAACCTTTTAATTTTGAATTTTCATACTTATACTGTGAAAATAAATTCTAAATCAGCACATATTAAATATGGCTTTTTACAAAATAACAGTCACAGTAAACAGTTGGAAGAGTCCATTTACGCGACGTGAAGTCCGTTATACAACAAGTAAACTTTTTAATTTTAATAAAATCTATAAATATAATAAATAAACAATAAAATTATTTATTCCATTTTAGAACTTTCTTTTAAATTATTTTTGTTACATTCCAAGTTCTTTTGTATCCTGTTTTTAATTTCCAAGAACCTTTAATATTTTTTAATATCATTAAGAAATAATTCTAATTATGGATACTGGTCTAGTTTTTAAGTAAAACGATGCTGTCGACAAAGCGCTAATGATATTTAACGTTTTAGTTATGCTGGACTTCACTGCGTAGTAATAAAGGGATATTCAAAGTCAGCTGGATATCAACCGGGAGTGATATTCGAAGACAATAGATTCAGAAATTCTTGGAATGCGGTCTATGTTGCGGGAGCTTGGAGATTTGTGCAATGTAACTGGGGAGCCAGACATCTAGTCAATGCTAAAGAAGCACCAAAAGCTGGTAACAAAGCCAAATCCGATAGTTTAAGGTTAGTATAATTTATTTGATTCTATTTAAAAGTTTTGCATGATGTATTTTTTTGGTACTATTGTATATTCCTTACATTTGTTTTTAGTATTTTTTAGCACTAGAATTTGTAATAAATGGAAACTTGGATAAATCTGACTAATCCATTGTTATGATTGTGTAATATTTATTTTAATTTATTTACAATTTTCTAAGGCTAACACTAAAAACACAATTAATTTATAAGATGTATTTACTTAACAATACAAATTTATATTATCAACTGACTATAATTTTATTTATCTTTATATAGGGTGTCCCATAATTAATTGGACATTAGCTAATGAATGATAGCTGATATCAAAATAAAGCATTTCAGCTCAAATTGCTTGGGCAAAATGTTGCTAGTTTTCGTTCTACACGGTGAATCATAGTTATCTTATAAGTAACTTATTTTTAGGTACGAATATGATGACCACTACTTCCTTACCGATCCCAAAGAGTTTATTTACGAGTTCTTTCCCCTTCAATCTGATTGGCAATTGCTCAAAAGTCCCATAACGCAACAGGAATTCGAAGAGCTTCCATTTGTACGATCACTGTTCTTCCGCTACGGACTCTACTTTTCAGATCCCAATACAAAGGCCGTTATGTATACGGATTCTACAGGTAAATTATATTATAGTTAACTGTGATTCATTCAAATATCCGTAAACACGAATATTGCCTTGAGAAAACATCACATAAAAACAAATTCATTACATTGAAGAAAATTCACATGAATGAGAAATTTAGATAGAATTGTTTACCTTCTAACCACAATTGAACTCTTTAGATCATCGGTAACTAAGGTTAAGTTAGCCTTTAATTCCAATTTCTAATATCCGATAGGAGCAGCACAAGATGTTACTAATCTTAAAAAATTTTTCTAGGTGCTGCTACTGTTAAAATTGCTATGCCATCTCATATGCAAGCAACTTTGATCTTCCATTACAATTTGAAGTTCTACGATAGCGAAGGTGATACGTTTGAAGGTGTTTCCTTGAAAAGATTTGTGATGCAAGTAAGTAAAAAAAATATTTGATCTAATTACACAAAAAAAGTTCTTTTCAGATTTAAAGATTCTAGGTTATTGGGGACTTAATTTAATCCTAGAATACTAACCTTAATTTACACTCCCGTAGACACTTTTTCTTCTTGTGGTGCCTATCCGTTACGGATGTTGACTACTAGCATGGCAATTCTAACTTTTTTTTTGAAAAATTCAACTCAAATATCGACCGCATTTTTAATAATCAAATCTTGACTAAGTACTTTCGCTTTCTATAGCATCATCAGGTGCATTTCGTCAAATTTGGGCTATCCAGCAAGCGCAGAATGTAATGAACATGAAAATAGACATAAATTGTACATAACACTACACTAAAACAAGGACAAACAGTTTAAAATTACAGTCCTCTCTCTCTATAACGATATGCAAGGGACCGGGAATTTTCATCGTTATAAGGAGAGATCTTTATACAGAGAGAGGCAAAATTTGGTACTGTAATATTAATATTACTGTACTTAATAACCTATTTTAATTTTAAAAATTTATCAAAACGAATATAAATGAATTAACACTGTATTGTACACCACGTAGATTTATTGAACAATATAAGCAATACAGTATAAAAAAAAATTACTACAATTAAAACATGTGTACTGTACAATAACAAAATAATATGCTACTATATAATATATTTAGCCTACATTACCAAAAAGGTCTGTCATCTTGGTCTGTTTCCTTTTCCCTTTCCACAGAACTGACTTGACCTTGTCTTGAAGACGCAAAACATCCACTGAACAATGACCTTACCACTCGTGACTAAGGTAGTCTGAACTTTAAACACAATAACACATTTGTCACCGACTATTGAACGCTGAAAAGTCATCGCTATAAAGAGAGAACGTTATCGGTATAGAGAAATAATTAGTAAATCGTCCTTATGATGAACCAACCAACGTTTACTATTTTCATCGTTATGGAGGAATTATCGTTATATAGGAAATCGTTATAAAGAGAGACTACTAATTATTCTACGCTCTACATTCTTGTCGGCAACAGGAGAGAGAATGTCTTCTCTCAAAAGAGTATCCACAAGGTTTACTGAAGTCAACCAATTGTCCATTGTGACGTTTCGGTATCTTTCGTAAATAGTTTCAGTAAACTTTTTAACATAGTATTCTCCTAGGCATTCATCATTTCTGTGCATGTGTTTGCCGAAGTACATGTTCAACATGTACTTGGTACCTACGTCGCAAGTCATCACAACTTTAATTCCGTACTTGGCACGCTAATTCGGAATATACATCCTAAAAGGGTATAGGCCTCTAAAAGCTAATAACTGCTCGTCAATAGTTACATAGCTACCTAGTCGATAGGACTCTTTACAATTAAAAAAATTTCTCCCATATTTTTCGCGGATAAGAGCAAACCTATCTATATTTTTTCTTTCAGTTCTTGTGATTTTATGTGGAAGAAAATCAAATCTTTTACAGCTCATTGTTGCTCTATACACGGAACCAGACATTGTTGAAATCAAATATCTCTCTACTATGAAGATGGTTATGTTCTTGTGCTCCAGAAAATATCAGTAGTCCAACCAGAGCATTTAATTCATCACTTATTACGAGAGAATTAGTATGTTTAAAAACTTTTTTCGAACATAGAATCATTCATTAAACACTGAAATACATCTAATGGTGTATTAGCATCTTTTGCCTGTCCAGATGATCCTTGAACAATATGCAAAATATTCCTTTTAGTAGTAAGTTTTAGTAATAAATGACAAAGTCGTAGGAAAATATGGTGACGCTAAAACAAATGAAAATGGGGAACACTTAATCGAATTCTGTGAACAGCACTCTCTGAAAATTCTAAACGGATTCTACCAACATAAAAACATACATAAGTACACCTGGGTTCAACCAACGAGAAACACAAAGTCAATTATAGATTATGTCATCACAAAACAAGAAACACACATACAAGTTGAAGACATAAGAGTACTAAGAGGACCGGAGTGCGGAACTGACCACTATATGGTAAGATCAAAATGTTACCTACAGTATCGACCTCGGCTACTACATCAAAATGACAACCAACTAGCTCAATCCAAACCCCTGGAATCGAATCTACCTAAATACAATATTAATGCACTGCAAAACGACTCGACATCATTCTTATATAAGCTGCGACTTAGCCAAAAATTGGCAAATTTGATCTACTCCTCAGCCCAGAATACCTATAAAGAGATAATCAATAAAATCAATGAAGCAGCTTATGAAGCGCTCGGCACAATCCAAAAGAACAAAAAGAATACTCCATTGTGGTGGACAAATGACATCGCCAATGCAGTACACAACAAGAAACAAGCATATCAAAAGTGGCTGCAAACAAATGATCCAGATGATAGACAAACATATGCAGGATCAAACAGAGAAGTAAAAAACTTAGTAACTAAAGCAAAAAATATTTCCTGGGAAAGTAAATGCGAAGAACTCAACAAATATATAGGGTCAACAAAATCAAGAGAAGCATGGAAAACGGTAAAAAATCTGAAAACAAACAGAAAAGAAACGAGTAGAATAGATTTAGTAGAAGAAAAATCTTGGATCGAACACTACTCACAACTTTTGACTGAAACAAGATCTCAATTCACGAACATCAGTCAACAACATATGAACTGGAATTCAGTGAAGACGATGAAATAACAGTACAGGAAGTCGAGAATGCAATACGAACTCTAAAAAATGGGAAGTCATGCGGACCACAAGGTATACCAAATGAATTATTAAAACATAGCCCACAAGTATTACGGGAATTACTGGCGTATGTCTTCACCTTATTCTATAATGGACACGACTTACCACCGAAGTGGACAAAAGCACATATTAACAACATATACAAAAAAGGAGATAGAAAGAATTATTCAAACTATAGGGGGCTAAGTGTCATAAATTCACTCTCAAGACTGTATGGAAAAATAATAAAAAATAAAATTGAAAAAGAGATATCAGATGTAGAAGAACAGAATGGCTTTCGTGCAGGCAGATCCTGCATGGACAGTATATTATCTCTAAAGCAAGTTATCGAGAAAAGATTAGCCACAACCTTTCACTCATATAGTCTTTATAGATCTGACAGAGGCATACGATAGTGTACCACTTTCAATGCTTTGGGTAGCAATGGAAAAACAAGGAATAAGCAAAAAAAATATACAAGCAGTACAACAACTCTACAAAAAATATAACGGCAAACATTAAAACTGGAAATAGATTAACTAGAGAAATTCCTATTAGTAAGGGCCTAATGCAAGGCTGCATAGCACCTACACTCTTCAAAATATATCTAAATGAGGCACTCTCACTGTGGAGAAGAAAGTGCTGCAATATGGGCATCCCAATCGGAGATGATAGATTGTACACGATACATTTCGCTGACGACCAAGCCATTCTAGCTGAAGACGGGAGTGATATAAGCTACATGCTTAGAAAACTGGAAGATGAATACACCAAATGGGGCCTCACAATTAATATACAAAAAACTGAGTACTTAGTTGTAGGAGAAAAACCAGAAAGCCTACAAATCGAAATGGGAACTATAAAACCAACAGACAATTTTAAGTACTTGGGAGTCCAAATAACATCAAAAGCAGGAAGTAGCGAAGAAATACATTCCAGGATTGGCCAAGCAATATCAGCCACCAGACAGCTACACGGACTATTATGGAATAAAAAAATAACAAAAGAAAATAAAAGAAGAATTTATAAAACAATAATAGAAAGTATTGGACTGTATGGCGCCGAACTCTGGGAAATAAACCAAAGAAACAAATCAAAAATTAAGGCCATGGAAATGAACTACTGGAGACGATGTTGCCAGCTCACTAGACTTGATAGGGTGAGAAACGAAGATATTCGGAGAGAAATGGAAATCGATCTAGACATAATAGACACAATCGAAGCCAAAAGACTTAACTGGTATGGACACCTTCAGAGAATGCCGGAAAATAGATGGCCAAAAAAATAGAAGAATGGACTCCGCCAACTAGAAGAAAACGAGGTAGACCAAGACGATCCTGGAGAGACGATGTCGACGATGCAATGACCGCCAGAGATCTAACAACTGAGGATTGCTTCGACAGAAAACGCTGGAAATTAGGATGCGAGAAGCGGCGCCAGCTGTAGAAGACTTGCTTGTTATATATAGTAGTAAGTTTCCGAAGATTAGATACAGTACAAGAGCTTGACCATTTTTGCTTTTGAGATTCGTAGACAAATTGGAAGCATGCGGTTCAGAATCGTCCACAATGCTTTCTGTTTCTCGCTCTTCAACTTGTTAAAAATACACTTCATTAACTTTTTCGTTTTGATAGAGGCTGGGGTATTATTTGCTCAAATGAATGGTCTTGCTGAATGTCGGTTTCCACAAAAGAAATCTCACATTGAACTCTACATGAAGTGCTAGGCATAGAAACAGAAGTAGAGTGGTTATTAGGCTTTCTTTTTTTCGTTTTAGGACTGCTACACTTAAAATTACTGCTTTCATCACCAGAAAATTATGGTTCTTATTCCGATTTAGACTGGCTGAAACAATTATTTTGCACTCTATCTTCATTTTCTAAATTAGTAGAAGTTTCGTCATTTGATTGTAGGCTACCATCATCTAATTCACCCATCAATATTTTTTCGGCTTCTAATTCCAATTCTAATTGTGTTAAGGGTCTTATATCGTCAAATTTTCTAGCCATATTGTGATTAAATTGTCTGTGAATGAGAAAAGAAAATAATAATAACAAAATAAAAAAAATTTACTTTAACACTAACTTTTCGTAAAAAAATACAAAGCAATTACAGAATCGATTACAGAATTCACAAAAAATATATTTTTTATTGTACATGTATATAAGAGCAAATTTGAACATAGTTTAGTGTTTTGATTTTACAATTAATTTCATATATAATGTATTGAATTTGTTTTAGTCCGTTGTTGGAAACATGGTAGCTTTTAGAGTTCACGCGCCTTGCAGTGGAGCCTTTTTATTGGACATCTTCGCCAATGCCGTCACCCCCAAAGAGTACCTGACAGGAGAACCGATGAAATTCAAAAGCGTTTGCAAGTTTAAGATCTGTTGCGAGAACTTACAAACTGTTATGGTGCCCTTACCAGACTGTGCGAGCGGAGAATGGGGGCCGACTAAGGCTACGAGGTTGTTTGGACTAGTACCTATTACTCATCAGGTAAAAATATATTTATTTCTTAATTAATACAGATGGATGAATTTGATCATAAGATATTACATACTTTTAACAATAAATACTATGACTTAGGTTATATCTTGGTTAAATATACCAAAATACATGTAAATTTTGGTGTACTAGTGAGACCAATTATAGTTAGAAAGTTATGAAGGTTTTAAACATTGTATTGCATATTTCAATGCTTGCAGCTATGTAAATTGTTTTCAATCTCAGACTTCAACTTCTTCTTCTTCTTCAAGTGCCCTGTCCGTTGCGAACGTTGGCTATTAACATGGCAATTCGGATCTTGTTTGCGGCGCTTTTGAACAGTTCGACCGATGTAAGCTCAAGCCACTTCCGCAGATTTTGGAGCCACGAGTGTCTTCTCCTGCCTGGCCCTCGCTTACTGTCTATTTTCCCCTGGACAATCAATTGCAGTAGACAGTACTTATCATGTCTCAATATGTGGCCTAGATAATCAAGCTTTCTTTGTTTAATTGTGCTCACGATTTCTTTCTCCTTTTCGATTCTTTGGATTACCTCTATGTTGGTGACATGTTCGGTCCAAGGTTCAATGCTTCTAGTTTTCTCGTGAGCGTCTCTGTCAGCTCCAGGCCTCCACACCATATAGTAAGATCGGAAAAATGTAGCATTTAACTAGACGTAGTTTTAGGAGAAAAGACAAATCCTTGCTTATGAGGAGCTTTTTCATATTGTTACTTCTACACATTTCAGTTACTCTGGTTCAGTTCAGTTCCTCTGTGCTACTTGCCTTTCTTCCTCTTCTACCATTTTTGCGTAACACATTGTACATCGTCTTCTGCCTCCACGACCAACATCTCTGAGTTTATGATAATTTTCATCATGACGGGTGTGACAAAATCTGCTAATAGGCCCCGAATTCCTTGAATCTTCCTTGAACTTGGTAATCGTCATGCTTTCGTCTTTCGTCATCGATAATTTTCTGTGTCATTTTATTTCTTTAATTAATAGCGAATTATAGCTTTTCATTTGATCTGATATATCAATCAAGCTTTTACATTTATTGTATTCGATGACATTCTTTGGCTTTACATCACGGCGTGCCTTCTGTATTGTCACCAATCACCATCGCATCGTCAGCGAATTGGGTACTAATTCATCAGCACATCTCGCTTGTGCCTCCACTTCTGAACAACCATGCCCGGATTACTTTGTTCAGCTACCTACATGTTCGCCTACTTTCAATTTTTTGCAAATGACGTTTTTGGGAGTATATTTGCGATTTGCACGTAACATACCAATCATATAAGCTTTTCGGTATAGGAGCTCAGGTGCAAGTGTGACAGAAATGTAGTAGTTATCAATAGCCCAAGTATTCGACCTTTGTCAAGTAGTCCATTCATATGTTTCATCACTACATTTGTTGATATGGTGCTACCTTCAGCATGCTATTTTCCATAATATACGTTAAAATCGTAGGTATAACCACCTTCCAGACAATGTTTGAATAATTTTATCCCAAATTTGTGCCTCTTGTTTCAATTGAAAATAAAAGATTACAAGTTGACGCAATAACGTCATTGTATATGTTTCGTTTGTAACAACTAACAAATCTTTTAGCCAAATATACTATAACAGTGGCCCACAAAGGCAACAACCTTTTAAATAAATATTTCACAAAACTAAAAACACAAACTCCAAAACTTGAAGAATCACATGTTGTTTACGAGATACCATGTATTAACTGTGAAGGTGTCTATATCGGTCAAACCAGTCAACTGCTTCAATCCAGAATTTGTTTTCACAAATATGACAAGAACAACGTTACTGCGCTCACAAAACATGAAAGTAAGAAGAAGCATACATTTGATTTTGAAAACATCAAAATTTTAAAAACAGAACAAAACAAAAAGAAGAGGGAGATATAAAGAATGAAAAGAAATACCAATGCAATAAATGACAAAAAAGATACACAAAACCTAAATAAAATATATTTTAATCTGATTTAAATAATAATAAATATAACACCATAAAAAGCTCTTAAAGTCATAACATATCTCCACTTTACCATTTTCAAAAACATCAGTGATACGCCCATATAAAAATAATTATATATACTTATGGCGGTAAACCATGAGATATCGGATATCAACTTTTATTTAGTCATATATAATGAAAAACAAAAAAAAAATAATTCTTTTATTTCTGTTTTAACATCAACGAACTGGCCTACTTTTTAAGATATGAAATATTCGGATGTTTTTAATTATTATCAGCCTTTTATTTCCTGAAAATTTGATAAGACAACCACAATAGTTTAGTTTCGTAACGCGAATGTACATGAATTTGGATTAATATGTTGTTTTCCGATATTTTTGCAAAATACACAGGTACATACATCTATTTTCTTTAATATGTTTTTTAAAACAGGAATTGTAGCTTTAATCTGACAAAATCAAATAGTTGGAAAATAAATAGAATTAAAAAATTGTCTTGTTAAATTTCAATGAAATACACAGAGACAGAACATCTGTTTTTTCTATTTTTATTAAAAAATAAGATTTATCATATGGTTTTTATGCTATACTAAAAAATAATAATATGTATTGTTCTGAAGCTATTTCCTTTTGGAACTTATATAATTATTGTGTTTGGGAATAATGTAAATAAGAAGTAAACATAGAAAGAAAAGAAAATACACAAAAATTTTTAATAGTGTTAATGTTTTCAAATGTTACAATTATATACAAAATTAGTAACTTTATTAATTAATATAATTTTTTTATTTAATTCATCCAGAGAAAACTGAAGTTGTTTTTTCTTCGAATATTGCTGTTTTCTTCTGATAGGATTTGAAACGGGTTCTTCTTGATTTTGTGTATATTGATTTAGTTTGTTCTGAAGACGCATTTTCTGTTTTATTTTATGGCTAAGGGCAGTGCTATTAACTTTAACAATTTTGGCCACTATTCTCTTCAGCTTTTGGTTTTTTTCCCTCTCAATTTCTGCCTTGTTGCTTTCATTGAACACAAATTCCTCATGGCCATCTTCCATGTGAATGTCTGTTGTTTCGTCAACTATGGAATTTTTTTGTTCCGTTATCGCTTCTTTCTTTTGGATCTTAATTTTTTTGACGAAGCTCATCAGCTTCTAATAAATGGCGTTCAATTTCTTCGTCACTAGAAATATCTTCCATCTTGGTATACGGATGGATGGATGGAATAAGAACTTCTGCTTGCAACTTATCACTGGTAATAGATTTTAACTCGGAAGTAGACGGGTGAAAGGATGGAACAAAAACCTTCTGCTTGCAATTTTATCACCATTAAAAGGTTCTGTCTTAGACCTAGATGTTGATGATGCTGGTATCCTTCTTTTGAATGATCTATATCCAGTAGACTTGATGCTAGAAATATCACCAAAAAACACCAATGAACTTGATTTGTCGTTAAACTTTGTTTTCTTGTTGGTACTTGCTGGACTCAAAATGGTCAGAATCGGCAGCCTTCTTGTTTTGGTTAATTATTTTAACACCTTTCCCTCCGACTCTTGGTTTAGGGACAACAACACTTTTATCTGTTTTCATTTTGGTTATAAATAATAGCAAGACAATTTACTTTTAAAGACTTTTCAATTTACACTTTATGTACTTGTAGAATGACAAGAAAAATTAAAGTTTTTGTATTTATACTTAAGATCTACCACTAAAATATATTAATTCCGTATCTATTCCAGAGGTTCCAAATTTTTTTCAGTTATGCAGTTGTTTTGTATACTATTTAGGACAAGAATAACTGTTCAAGCCTATGTTTTTAAGATTATACATTTATTTCAATGATTGAAGAAATTTGTCGTAAACAGAGTAAAATGAACAGTATATTTTTTTTTCATAGAGCAGTTTACACTTAAGGCTTATCCTCGAAAATCTTAACGGTAAAATTCAGTGCGATATCTATTTCAAAAATATCTTGCTTTATGAAAACAAAATCCATTCTCGAAGAATATTCTAAACGTAATCTTGTACTAGAATCTACCTTTATACATACTTACAACCCCCTATGGTGAAAAGTCTTAGGTCTATACTATAAAGCGAGTGGGCGGTCTTCTATTCAGTGCGGTTATGGGGTAATTAGAATAATACGAGTATACCAGAGTAATATTATTTATTGAATAATTAATTCACAACTTAGCAAGGGTACATACAAACAAGATTTTGAAGACACTACTACTACTAAGGATTTCCACAGTTTTCACTGTCTTCCTTCACTCAACCGTTTTCTCCAATTTTCCCTGTCATTCCAGTCTCCATCTCGCAGGGTTCTTTTCTCCATAGCCTCGTCGATTTCGTCTCTGAATGACCTTCGGGTCTTCTTCTCTTTCTTCTTCCGATCGGGCTCCATTCTGTAATTTTGTTTATCCAGCGTCCTCTGTCCGCTCTGCTGACGTGGCCGTACCAGGATAGTCTCTTCTCCTCTATATAGTTGATTATGTCTGATTGCACTCCCATTCTCCGTTTAATCTCTGCGTTTTCAATTCTGTCTCTTTTTGTAAGTCTACAGCTTCTCCTCAGGAACTCCATTTCTACTGCTCTTATTCTACCTCTATTTCTCTTGTTTATTGTCCAGTTTTCGGATCCATATGTCAGGATACTTCTTGTCAGGGTATTATATATTCTCTTTTTTGTCTCTATCGTAATGTTCTTATCCCACAGCACTGAATTTAGTTGTCTTATACAGTTTCTTGTTTGTCTTAGTCTATTGTTTATATCTTCTTCTGTTGTTCCCTGGTTCGATATTATGGTTCCTAAATACTTGAATTTATCTGTTCCATTTACTTGTCTTCCCTCGTCTATCTCTAGTTTTCTCATATCCTTGTTTTCTGTTGTTAGGTATTCGGTTTTCTCTAAGTTTATTTCCATTCCGTTGTTTTTATATGCTTCTTCTAGTTTTCTGAGCATAAAGCTGAGATCTTCTTCATCTTGTGCGATGACTACTTGATCGTCGGCAAAACTTAAGGTG